TCTCGGGGTAGAAAGCTCGGATTCTCGGTTCATGTTTCCCTTCTTGGGCCTCTCTTGGGGCCGTCTTGGGGCCCTCTCGGGCCGTCTTGGGCGCCTCAGGCACCGCCTTGGGGCCCTCGTGGGCCGCCCAGGGCCCTCTTAGAAGCCTCTTCGGCTATTTTGGAGCTGTCTGGGAGGCCTCTTCCTCCTCCTCGTCCCCCTCCTCCTCCTCCTCCCACTCCAGCTCTCTCTCCTCCTGATCTTCCTCCTCCTCCTGCAGCGTGTTCCGGAAGGCTCCCGCCGGAACATGCTGTGCACAAGTGCTGTCACTGCTGCCGCCACCGTGCCCTGGGTGGTGGGTCAGAGGCCTCATGGGTGTTGCTTTGGATCTCGTGGTTGGCCTGTCGGGGACGTCGTGAAGGCAGTTTCGCAGCTTCTCGGTAGCCGTTTTGGGACCGTTGTGGGGCCTCCTCGGGCTGCTTTGTGGCCTCTTTAGGCCTCGTTTGGGCCTCCTGGGTGCCTCTTGGGGGCCTCCTGGGGCCTCTTGGGGGCTCCTTGGGGCCTCCTGGGGTACTCTTCAAGCGGGAGGGTCGAATTTTGGAGTCGTGGTCCCCCTCTTGGGCGCATCTTGGGGCCGTCTTGGGGCTCTGTTGGGCTGTCTTGGGCGACTCTGGGGCCGTCTTGGGGCCCTCTTGGGCCGTCTTGGGGCGCTCTTGGGGGCCTATTGAGCCGTCGTGGAACGTCGGACAGCCGAAAAGCTGGAAGGCCAAAATCGTTCGAAAACCTTTGTAAACTTGAAGATTTCGGCCTCTGGAAGCGCTCTGGAGAGGCGTCTTGAAGCGTCGTGGAGTGCCTTGGGGGGCCTCTCGGGCCGTCTTGGGCCTATCTTGGGCGTCCTGGAGCGGTCTTTCGGCGACTCGGGGCCCGCTTGGGCCGTCTTGGGAGCCTCTGGAGGCCCTCCTGGACTATTTTGGACCTCCCCGGCCGCCCCTCCTCCCATGGGGGGTCGGAGGCGGCGCCCTCCGAGGCCCAGGACGCGGAAACCCTTTTAAAAACACAGGGAAAATGAGCCCCAGTACCCCCATGGAGGCTTTTCGGCGCTCTTGGACAGATGGGAGCTCGAAAACGCGAGAAGCCAAAAACATTGAAAAGAACACCTGGGAGCCTCGAGAGCCGTCGGAAGGCTGACTTGGGCTGCTCGGGAGCGTCTTGGGCCATCCTTTCGCATTCTGGGGGCTCCTAGGGGGCGTCTTGGGCCCTCCTGGAGCGCTGTGGAGGCTGCCCAGAAAGGCTGGGGCAGCAGTGCCGGGAGCGTCCCCGAGATGTGGCCATATCTTTTCAGCGCGTTCCAGGAGCATCTTCCCGGAACGCGCTCGTGGCAGGGCGCCCACGTCCGAGGACGTTGGCATGGGAAACCGCAGCGCGTGATCATTCCAGCGCGTTCCGGCGAAGACCGTCCGGAACGCGCTTGGGCAAGCGCTGGGTTTGAGGAAGGCGAGTGGGAACCGTTCAGGCAGTTTGGGATGCTCGGGGCAAGAGGCGGAAGCCATCCTCAGAAGACATGCAGTCTTCCTGGAGCCGTCTTGCAGAAAACAAGAGAAAAATTAGACCCTGCAGTCGTTCCTGGAGCCGTCTTGGAGCCCTCTTGGGCTGCCCTGGAGCCTGTTGGAGCCCTCTGCGGAATGGTCTTGGAGCCCGCGCCGAAGATCTGGAAAATGTCCGGGACCATCGCGGCGGCCTCCGAGGCCCGGGACGCCGAACCCCCGTGAAAACACAGCGAAAATGAGCCCCGGTACTCGCATGGAGGGTCGGGCAGCTGTTTTCGGGCCCCTGGGTTAGAACCATCGCGCGCGCTTCGCGCGCGCACTCAGGTTCTAGCCCAGGCCGGGGGGGCGCTGGACGATCTTGGACGACGCTATCAAGCACAGGCGCGCGACGGCATCTGAGGATCTTCTGGGGTGTTCCGCATGCTTCGTCAACTGGCTGTTGGAGGCACCTCTTGGGTGCTTCTTGGGGGGGCGTCTGAGGGTCCCTTGGGGGCGCATCGAGGGAACTCTTGGGCTATTTGAAAGCCTCTTGGACGTCTCCTAGTGGCCTTTTAGGCCCTCGGGGAAGCTTTTGGGGTCCTCGTCGGACCACTTGGGGGCCTCTTGCGGCCTCCTGTGGGCCTTGTGGGGGGACCGCTCTGCTGTTGGGTCGCGTTCCCCTTCTCGGCCCCTCTTGGAGGACTCTTGGCCTCTCGGCCGCTGGGCGCCTCAACACCGTTTTGGGGCCACCCGGCGGGCCGTCTTGGGCCCTCTTGGAGTCCTTCTTCCTCTATATGGACCGTATTGAAGCCTCTTGGGCGACTTGGAGCATCGGGATCCAAACGGCAGAAAAAACTATCCCAGTGCAAGTGGTAATACAATGTGTGTGCCTCTGGGGGCCACCTTGGGAGATCTCTTGGAACCTCGTCGGCCCTCTTGGGAGCTTCTTGGGGGCCTCTTGGATCCGATTGGGGGCCTCTTGGGACTTCCCGAGACCCTCTCGGGGTAGAAAGCTCGGATTCTCAGTTCGTGTTTCCCTTCTTGGGCCTCTCTTGGGGCCGTCTCGGGGCTCTCTCGGGCCGTCTTGGGCGCCTCAGGCACCGCCTTGGGGCCCTCGTGGGCCGCCCAGGGCCCTCTTGGAAGCCTCTTCGGCTATCTTGGAGCTGTCTGGGAGGCCCCCTCCTCCTCCTTGTCCCCCTCCTCCTCCTCCCACTCCAGCTCTCTCTCCTCCTGATCTTCCTCCTCCTCCTGCAGCGTGTTCTGGAAGGCTCCCGCCGGAACATGCTGTGCACAAGTGCTGTCACTGCTGCCGCCACCGTGCCCTGGGTGGCGGGTCAGAGGCCTCATGGGTGTTGCTTTGGATCTCGTGGTTGGCCTGTCGGGGACGTCGTGAAGGCAGTTTCGCAGCTTCTCGGTTGCCGTTTTGGGACCGTTGTGGGGCCTCCTCGGGCTGTTTTGTGGCCTCTTTAGGCCTCGTTTTGGCCTCCTGGGTGCCTCTTGGGGGCCTCCTGGGGCCTCTTGGGGGCTCCTTGGGGCCTCCTGGGGCACTCTTCAAGCGGGAGGGTCGAATTTTGGAGTCGTGGTCCCCCTCTTGTCGCATCGTGGGCCTCTTGGTGCTACTGTTGGCGTCTTTGGCGACATCATGGGCCGTCCTGTTTCCTGTCGCCCTCTTGGGCCGTCTTGGGGCGCTCTTGGGGGCCTATTGAGCCATCTTGGAACGTCGGACAGCCGAAAAGGCTGGAAGGCCAAAATCGGTCGAAAACCTTAGTAAAATTGACGAGTTCGGCCTCTGGAAGCGCTCTGGAGAGGCGTCTTGAAGCGTCGTGGAGTGCCTTGGGGGGCCTCTCGGGCCGTCTTGAGCCTATCTTGGGCGTCCTGGAGCGGTCTTTCGGCGACTCGGGGCCCGCTTGGGCCATCTTGGGAGCCACTGGATATAAAAAAGAAAAAGAAAAAAAAAGGTGTTCCTCACATGGGGGTCGGAGTGGAGGTGCGGGCGAATCCGTGGCCCAAACGCGATACCATGTAAAAACAACAAAGAAAATGAGCCCACGTCCCGCCATGTTGGGGGCACCCAATCCCGGGGCCCCACCTCGACCCCAGGGATTTGATTTATAATATATATATATATATATATATATATATATATATGCGCATCTACATACGGGGTGCACATCGAGAGTGTAAACACAATCTGTCTGGGATCCACCCTGGCAAACACGTGATAAGCAAACGTGTCCCCAGTCCCTCCTGCAAGGGGCACGCAGATCTTTCCAGAGCTCTCCAGAGTGATCCTCGTCGCCGATCGTCGCCGTCCAGATCTCTCATGGGCACAACAAACAAAGACCAATGTGATCCTCATCGCCGAACGTCGCCGCTGCTGCTACCGCGGACGTCGTCGTGGCCGACGTCGATCGCAGTCGTGTGTGATCGTCGTCGTCGTCGTCGTCGTCGTCGTCGTCGTCCGCCCACGTGGTCGTCACCGTCCTACGTCGACGCCGTCGACCGTCGTCGTCATGGTGGTCATCGTCGTCGGTCGGGGATCGTCGGCAGTCGTCGGGGGTGCCGCCGTGGCGGTCGTCGTCCACGGTCGTGGCTCGGCGTCGTCCTCGTCGGCGCCGTCGTCGGTCGCCAACCGTTGCCGTCGGTCGTCGATCGTCGCCGTCGCTCGGTCGTCGATCGTCGCTTGTCGCTCGTGAGTCAACGCTGGCGGGCTTCGGCCTCGGCCGCTGGCCGTTGACAGTCGTCGACGCTGCCGCGGTCGTTGCCGTCGACCGTCGCGCGCTGACCGCCCGTCGCCGTCGATCGTCGGTCGTCGCCGCTCCGTCGGTGGCCCATCGCCGGTCGCCGTCGGCACCTTCGCCGTCGCCGCCGCCGCTGCCGTCGGCCATCGGTCGCCAGTCCCCGCTTGCGACCCTCCGATCTTCGAGCGTCCATTTGGCGGCGCGCAGCGGGGGGCAGGGGGAGGGGGGAGGGCTTCTCAGAAGGAGGCTGCTTCTTCGCAGGCGCCGGCCTCACATCCACAGATTCGGCCCGCGCCTCTGTAAGAAGCAGGGGTGCTTCTAAGACGCCCTCCCCCCTCCCCCCACCCCCCTCTGCGCGTGGCTGATCGATCCCTGAAATCCGCCGGTCCGATGCTCAAAACTCCGCGGCCCCACAAAGGTCCCGACAGCCTCCCGGGGGCAGCTCCTCGCCCATGGGCTCCGTGCCGCACGGCCCGGGGGGCCGACGAGCGACGACCCCCCGGGGGCGCCGAGAGCGAGGAGCCACGCCGAGAGGCAGCGCCCCTCCACCGGGGCCTCCACTGACGGGCACTCTGGCCAGTGACCCGGCGACCCCTCCCCTCCCCGGTGTGCGCAACGCTGCGATGCCACGGAACTGGCAGCTTTCGGCAGCTGTCCAAAGCGCCCGCTCGTGAGCACCCGTTCCGGTGCCCCCGACAGATGCAGAGGCCGCGGAGGTCCGGGCTCGTCGCCGCCGCCGTCGGGGCCCGCGCTCCTCCTGGACGGCCGCCAGCGCGGCCCGGGAGTTCTCCAGGGCCCTCCGCAGGCGCACGAGCTCCTCGCGGCGGGCGGGGGCGGAGGCCCAGAGCGCTCTCGAGGCAACGGACGGGTCGGACTCCGTCTTCCCTCCCTGTATCGAGATACAGTCAACCAGTATAGTAAGGATGCGCGATAAGGATGGAAGGGCCTTGGGAGGTCACGTCGACGCTTTTCGAGCGGGGCGCGGCCAACGAAAGTGGCCAAGGATGGGCCGAGGAGGCAGGGATGCAAGGGTACCCTCGGGACGGTTGCCCATCCTTACCATTCGGGTTGACTGTACCTCGCCCCCATCGCATACCCAGACGTGTCGGGAGGGCGGGCTGGGCGACTCGCCTGAGATCCCCGCGCCAGCTATGATCCTGGGGCTTGAAGCCTGCGACAGTGGCCGCGAAGGTTCAGAGTGGGGCTCTCGCCCCAGCCCCGCGTAGACTGGTTCGACAAGCTTGAACCATGTGAGAGATGGACTGGTGCTGCTGCTGCTCCTGCTGCTGCTGCTCCTGCTCCTCTTGTTCAATGTGTGGTGCTTGCCTTAGCACCGCGATCATTCGTCCGAGAAGCTTGCGACAGCTTCAGGGATCGAGCACAAATCGCTTTCAACATGTCAGTCTCGCACTAGCCCAGCGCACAGTCGTATGAAAAGTTTGCGACGGCCCCTGAAATAAAGGGCTGCTCTTTTTCAAAATTGGGTTGCCGCCTCAGCGCTGCTCACATGCATATTGGCAGCTTACAACAGTTTCGATGAGACAGGACATTTCTTTCCCAAATGCGGTTCTCGTCTCAGCGCGGCGCGCACTCGTCGCAACAATTCGCAACCCTTTCAATGGTGGAAGAAGGGTGAATGCCAAAATGTCAAGAACATTCCGGGACCGAGCCGAACCGGCCGAACCGAACCGGGCTGCGCCGAACAGGCGCGAACCGATTGTTTTCCCGACGCGAACCGACCCGAACCAGAGTGGTCGCTTTTGCAACTCGAACCGAATCGAGACGGGTTCGACCTTTGAAACTGAACCGGACCCAACCGGAGCGCGGAAGCCAGCCCAGGGAATCGGAAACTGACACCGAAAGCCCCCCCCCTGCCGACTGAGATATAAGAGTGCCCCCGACCCGACCGGACCCCCACCAGACACCCACAGTACGGGCCCCGACCCAGACCCCGACCCAGACCCCGCTCGGATCCCAAAGACCCCAGCGGGCCACAGAGGACACCACCGGGCCCCAGCGGACCCTGGCGGACCCTGGCGGACCCCGGCGGACCCCAGCGGACCCCAACGGACCTCAGCGGGCCCCAGCGGACCCCAGCAGACTCCAGTGGAATCAGCGAGCCCCAGCGGGCCGCAGCGGACCCCAGCGGACCCCAGCGGACCTTAGCGGACCCTAGCGGATTCTAGCGGACCCTGCGGACCCTGGCGGACCTTGGCCCTGGCGGACCCTCGAATCGCATCGAGTGGATCGAAATGGACTCTGTATTGATGTGACGCAGATGTGTCTAGAGTTGCTATATTGTCTCAATGAAACCTCAACGATGTGAAACGTCCAAGCGGGGGGGGGGGGCCCCCCTGGAGCAAACATATTGCAGAAGAGGGAATACTCCGTCGTCCTCGTCCTCACCCTCTTGCCTCCTCTCCCTCCTCCTGCATCCCCCTTCCCAGGGAAACCAGAAGGCACCGATACCGCTGACCAGGATTTCGAAGAGTGACCAATACTTGGGGAGGATCCAGCCGTGGCGGCGAGGGGAGGGTAGCAGTAACGGAGCCTTTTTTCTGGCATTCGTCCTCCCTGCAGTCCCGTAGAGGACGAAAAACGGCATGAACATACGTACAGTGGAGGCCAGTCCACAAGAAACCTTCCACAAGAAACCCAACCCTGATACTCCCATGACGTCCCTTGATTTTCGGTGTGGGAACGTCACGCTCTCCATCACAAAACCATCGAAATCCAAGAAACCCAGGGCATCCTGGAGGCGAGCAGGGTGTTTCTTGGCATGGGCCTCCACTGTACGCTTGCGGAGGTCCGCGCCGACTTCTTGGATCTGCGCTGTGACCCCCCTCCCTGGCGCGCGGAGCGCGTCAGGAGCGGCGCCGGAGGCGCCGCCTGGAGACCCCTGAAAAAACCGCGCGGAGCTCCGAACATTGATGCGTATGCAACCTGTCTTCCTCGAGACTCAGCACCCTTCCCTCTCCTCGCCTCCCCTCCCTGTCTTCCTCGAGCATCCTCGAGTACC